CTGCCTTTAGAAGTTTCTACACAAACATGGAGGCCATGAAGAGAAACCAAGGTGCTGATGGTGGTGGGCTGTGAAGTTCTGACTCATAATGACCATGCATAGGGTTTCTGAGGTTGTAAATCTTTATGGGAGCAGAAAGCCTTATTTTCCCGCCATGGAGCAGCTGGCAGATTTGAACCGCTGACCTTATGGTTAGTAGCCCAACTCGTAATCCACTATACTAAAGATGTCTGTGATTTTGTAGCAATACTTTTTTACTTACCTTCATACATTATTATTTACCAAAGTTCATAGTTGACATTAGAGTTCACTCTGTGTTGTACAGTTTGATGTCATGTATCCCTCATGTTTGTTGAGGATTAAATGACATCCTTGTACGGTAGGGGTCCCTCCAGTGCTTTTACACAGTGGCAGCTCCATGATGGTGTGTTTGTCAAGGGTGCATCTTCCACCCACCTGCTTCTGAGTCCTGGCCACTTCCCTCATCTGTACTTCACTTGTACCTTCCTTTAACCCTCATGCACCGATTACTGTCATGTGTTCTGTGTGAAGGTGGAACTGAGGTGGTCGTAATCCATACCTAGTCCAGTGCCTCTCAACACAAGAATGTTCAACTGAGCCCACCCTGGGCATCAACTGGAAATCAAACCATAGTCCTACAAAGTGAGGAACATACTGTATCCTCAATACAATCACCCAAAGGACCAAAAGGTCAATGTGTGCTCACAAATGAAGCTCAGAAGGCAGAAAGGGGCAGGAAAGAAGGATGAATGGGAATGGGGAACCCAAGGAGGAAGGAAGAGGATCGCATCCAGTAGCATGAAAGAAAATGTCAGTTGTTGAATGGAAAATGAATCTGCTCAGTTAGTATCACCCAAAGTACAATTCTGAAAAGAAAAATGTTCAAGAAATAAGTCTTTCCTGATACAGTTCCTCAAGGGAAAGTGTGTGCTCCTGTTCTGCCGGACTCTCTTGCCCACTCCCTATCAGTCCCCAGCAGAGGACTGTTTTCCCAAGAGCGTCCCCTTGGCTTGCCATTTTAGCAGGAACCTTGGTGCAGAAGCTAAAATTACTTATTGGCTTCTTGAAGACTTACTCCTGAATAAATTGGGGGTCTTCCAAGAGCAAAGAATCTGGAAATAAATCTGCAACTTTAAAATAGAAACCAATATGAAATTGCTAGTTTACCATTGAGAACCTGAGGTTCAAAAGGTTAAACCAATTGCTCCAACCGCACAGCTAATTCCTTCACTCATTTATACACACAACACATATAGACCCTGTACAAGGGAATGAAATGTTGGACAAAAGACAGAGACAACCTTTGTCCTCTTGGAGCTTAATGTATAGTTCAGGGGTCAGTAGACTTTTTCTGTGAAATATCAAAGAGACCATGAGATCTATGTATCAAACACTCAGCTCAGCCATTGGAGTGTTAAAGTAGCAGTAGACCCTATGTAAATGAAGGAGAGTGACTGAGTTCCAATCAACATTTGTTTACAAAGATCCATGGTAGTCCAGATTTGGTTCACAGTCTGTACTTACATTTCTGACCCCAAGGCTGGTTGAAAAAAGAAAAAAAAAAAAAAGGGATGCATAATGAAATAATTGTATGACTACATGGGAAATGAGTTGGGGGGGGGGTGCTAAAAGATGAAGTAGGGATGAGGGAAGTGGTCCGTACTCAGAAGCAGGTGGGTGGAAGACACACCCATAACAAACACATCAGTTTGGAGCTGCTGCCATGTGCAAGCACTGGAGGGACTCTGAACAGAAAAAGATCTCGTTTGACCCTTAATGCATATCCTGTGAGATACAAGGCACCAGGAATGTGTCCCAGTTCCTAGGACTGTACAACAAAGCTCCAAAATCAGGAAAGAAGGTCAAATGGAGACATAGAACATACTTATGGGACCACAAAATGGAGGATCTGGACATCCGGTGACATGCTTGTGACAAGTGTAATTTTAACTGAGGTTTCAGGATGAGGAGATGTTTGCTAGGGAAGGAGGAGGCATAGGAAGGAAACGGTGTCCCAAGCTCACAGTGAAGTCCAGCTGGCTAGAAGAACCCTGACCTTTGAGCTACTGAAATATGTCCAGGTTATTTTAGTGAGCTTGGGAGAGTCCTAGTGTGGCGCTGTAGGATAAGCACTGGACCACAACATCGGTTTTCAATTGCAAAGTCAGCAGTCCTGATTCACCAGCCGTTCTTCAGAAACTCTATACAGGATCACTATGAGTCAGAACTGACTCGATGGCACTTAACAACAGCAACAAGCTCATGTCGTGTCTTGAAGGCCAAAAGGAAGCCTGTAGGAATCCATTGTTCCCTTGGTTCTAAGTAAAGGAGGGAGTGGTTGGGTTTTCATTATGAAGTGCCCCCTCTGGGGTTCCACTGGCAGCAATCAGAGGAGAAGGGGATGCCAATGAGCACGCTGTGGCTCTGCATCCTGGAGCCTCAGCAACCTTTGTCTATTCACTCTTTATTTGATGGTTGCTATTCCAACAACTCTTCCCTTTGCTCCACTTTCAAATGAAGAGTCATTTTGCATTCTTACATTATGCGTTTTATGACCACAGCTCCATCCCATCCCATTTTTCTCACCTTCCCTCCTTCTTTACCTCCCCTTCCTGATCCCCCCACTAACTCCATAAAACTTGCAAGTTAAATTTTTCAAAGACTGTTTCTGACAAAGCAGTGGGAATTAGATTTGGTGAGGCCTTTCATAAAAAATTGAAGGCACGCTATATTAACATACATTGATTTATTCATAGTGTTTCATTACAAGTAAGTGAGGATCCTGTAATACCAGGAAAGGTTAGGGGAGCAGGGGAACATGGTATATTATATTGACATCTCAGTGGAAATTGAGTCGCTTTTGGATTGAATTTGGAGCTCAGCAAAGGAATTGGCTAGTGAATAAGGCATGAGTTTTACCTCCCATTGACTGTATGCCAATGTAGCTGCCACCCTCCTGCAGGAAGACGCAGGTAGGATTTCCAAGGGCTTTCTTGTGGCGGGCAGAGCTCTCCGAGTGGCTCCCTTCTCAGGCCACCAGGGAAAGCTGGAACTGACTCCATCACAAAGCTCCACTTGCCTCGTTTACTCAGGATTCTCCAGTTACATGGACTCTCTCAGTTCTTCCCACTCTTCCCCACCCCTCTGCCCTGGTTTCATGATATCCATTTTAATCAGAGTTCAGTTATCCCTTGAGATGCCTTCCTGATCACTCTCTGTCTTAGTTATGGGCTCCTCAGAAACAGACACAGAGAGAAGGACTTGAATGCAAGCAGATTATTTGACAGGCATTGATGTTGTCAAGGATTTCAATTGACTTGGATCCGCAATCAATGCCCATGGAAGCAGAAGTCAAAAAATCAAACAAAGTATTGCATTCAACAAATCTGTTGCCAAAGACCTCTTTAAAGCATTAAAAAGAAAAGATGCCACTTTGAGGACTAAGGTGCTCCTTACCAAAGCCATGGTATTTTTAGTTGACTCTTATACGCGCAAAAGTTGAACAGTGAATACAGAAGACCAAAGAAGAATTGGCGCATTTGAGTTATGGCATTGGTGAAGTACTACCAGAAAAATGACCAAATCGGTCTTGGAAGAAGAAGAGCCAGAGTGTTCCTTAGAAATGAGCGTGGTGAGACTTTGTCTCATGGACCTTGGATATATTATCAGGAGGGCCCAGTCTCTGGAAAAGGACATCATGCTTGGTAGAGGGTCAGAGTAAAAGAGGAAGACCCTCAATGATGGATTGACACAGTGGTTGCAACAATGGACTTGAACTTATCAAACTTGTAAGGATAGTGCAGGACTGAATAGGGCTCATATGATAGCAGTGAGTCAGAACTGACTTGACCTAAACAACAACACAGGCAACACCAGTTAGTGAGGGAGAAATGGGGGGTTGGTTAGTCGATGATAGTTGTGCTTTCAAGTTCTGGTGTGTTGCTACCGGATACTGTTCTGGCCTGAAAGGTCAGTTTGAACCATAAGATCCATGGTTCAAGCTCACCAGTCACTCTTCTGAAACCCTGGTGTCCTGGTGTGGTGCTGTGGGTTAATCTGTAGGATTTAAAAGTCAGTTTGAACTGCAAGGTCAGAGGTTCAAGCTCACCAATCACTCCTTGGATACCCAATACAGGATCCCTATAGGTTGGGATCGACTTGACGGCACTTAACAACAACAACAGTCATATAAAGGGAGTCATGGTGTGGCACTGTAAGATAAGCACTAGACCACATGATCAGTTTGAACCATAAGATCAGATGCTCAAATCTATCAGTCGTCACTATAGTAACACAGGGTCATTATGAGTTGGTACCAACTCGACTGCACTTAACAATGACTTAAAAGCAACAGTTATATAGGGCTACTGTGCTTTTAAAAAAGAGCCCTGGAGGTGCTGTGGGTGGGCATTGGAATGGACACAAGGTTGGTGGTTCAAACCCACCAGCTGCTCCAAAGGAAAACAGATGAGGCTATCTGCTCTAATAAAGATTTAAAGCCTCAGAAACCCTATACAGGATCCCAACGAATAGGAATCAACATGATGAGTGCTTTTGAAATGTGATGGGTCCAAGTTGAAATGTGCTCTAAGTGTAAAATACATACCAAATTGCATAGACTTCATATGAATGAAATACTTAAACTGTCTCTAAGATATTTACAGTGATTATATGTTTGAATGAGAATTGTTTGATATATTAGGTTCAATAAAAGATAATACTAAAATTAATCTCACTTCTGGTTTCTCCTTTTTTTTAATCTGAAACTACCTTTGTGGCTCACGTCGCTTTTCTATTGGATATCATGGCTCCAGAGTGTCAGCAGTGGAGTATTCAGGGGCATGGGTGGTCTGTGAAGTGGTCAGTAGTTGACAGTTCACATGCCTTCTGTCCTCTCTGCTCTACCTTCCAGGGGAGCTGAACCCACTGAACTGAATGAGGTACTGACCTCTCTGTCTGTTGGCTTGTTTGTTGTACAGATCAACTACAAGGCTGTGGGCTCGCTGGACCCAAGTGCCGACCTCTCCAGCCAGAGGGGCAAAGTGTTCAAACTCCGCAATGAAACCCACCACCTCTTTGTGGGTCTGTATCCAGGGACCACCTACTCGTTCACCATCAAGGCCAGCACGGCAAAGGGCTTTGGGCCCCCCGTCACAACTCGCATCGCCACCAAAATTTCAGGTATCTATCTTAGAAAGGTAAAAGGCAGAGAGGCTTTGGTTTGGCTTTTTTGTTTTTTGTCTTCCCATTTCTAATTTTCCTGGGAGTGGTTGGTGGTTTTGTGCTGTGAAGCTGGTTCTGACTCATAGTGACCCTGTACAGGATTTCCGAGGCTGTAAATCTTTAGGGGAGCAGCTCATCTTTCTCTTGCGGAACAGCTGGTAGTTTCGAACTGCTGACCTTAAGGTTCCCAGCCCAATTTGTAACCACTACGCTAGCAGAGCTCCTTCCTGGGAGTAGAAATGAGTAAAACCCATTGTCATTGCTTGTCATTGGAGCAGTCAGAATGACTCAGCCCGAGTATGCTACCACTGTCGTTTCTGTGCGGGGAAAAAAGAAAAGATAAAAAGTCCATCTATAAATTACTTAAAACGAGAAAAAGATATTCATTGGGTGTGAGTCACCAAGCAATTTGCCACAGGTTGCATTATATTGTATATTCTTTTTGCATACAAGTTGGCTTATAAGAAAGTGGTTTGTTTTTCAGGACTATTTCTTTCTGTGGCATAGGATGCAGTACATGTTCTCATGAGGTGTCTAATAAAGGAATGAATGGATGGATGAATGAGTGACTCACTGACACAGAATCACAGTGGTCCAAGATTATAAACTGCTGGCATCCAAAGACCACCATTACCACTGTTGTTGTTGCTAAGTGCCATCCGGTGGGTTCTGACTCATACTGACTCTATACAGGGTTTCCCGAGAACAGATGGTGGGTTTCAACCTCTGACCTTACGGTTAGCAGTGCTTATCTAGACAGCATCAACGCAGAATTATCCCAAAACCTCTCTTACAACTTCCATTTTCCCAAATGCTCATGCAATTCCTGTCTTCTGCATAGATACATACCCAAGGCGTTTTTTGTAGCTTCACATTTTCATTGACCCTTATATGGTAAGCAGTTCCCATATCCCTACTTTGCCTTCATCATAATTTCCATCAAGTGGTTGGACAATAATCTAATGAAATAGACCCCCATGGTTGGCTATATTGGTTGGGTTTATTTTTCTTTAATAAAATAATGCTTCAATAAACATGTTATGGGATAAAGTTCAGTTCGTTAGTTTGGATTATAACTTTAGGATTAGATTCCAGAAATTGAAATACTGAGTCATGAGGGATGTGGTTTTTAATAGATCTTAATACAAATGGCTCAATTACCTTCCAGAAGGATTAGATTTAGTCAAGATAGGGGCTTATTAAAAAAAAAAAAAAAGTAGAGGGGAATTAGTTCATCATTGCTTTACTTTACATCTTCAACGTGTTTAACAAGCCAACTTTGCCTCCTTCACGTTTGTGTTAAGTACTGATATATTCTTACATTTGCTCATTTGGTACGGGGCTTGCTGACTCATAACAATTAGTGACCCCCTCATTGTCACCCTTCTCTAGACTCTACTGCACCTTGCAGGAAGTTCTGGCAAGTCAGGAGCCAGGGCCTCTTTAGCTGAAAGCCTGGCACATCATGTGATTCTTATCTAACTCCTTGTTCCAACCTCTTACTTATAGTCGTTCTCAGTAACTCCAAGGATAGCACCAAGGGTTGGTGACAAAGGGGGGTTTGGAACCTTTGCTGAGCTCACCTCCTCTCTCTTTTGCCTACCCAGCACCATCGATGCCTGAGTATGATACAGACACCCCACTGAATGAAACAGACACGACGATCACAGTGATGCTGAAGCCTGCTCAGTCCCGGGGAGCCCCTGTCAGGTGAGGAGGGCTTCTTGGCTTGGAGCTGGCACCACATACGCCTCCAACTCAGTCATGGTACTTACAGTGTTCCTGGATGAGACTGGCCCTTAGAGGATGTCCAGCTCAGCGGATTATTGGGGCTGGATCAGTGGAAACATTCCAGTGGCAACCCATGGAGGGCTGGGAGAGAACTTTTTGGAACACACCTTATAGTGAAATTAATCAGTGGGGTTGGAGGCTCAAAACCAGTCTCTTGGCAAGATCATCTTTCCATGCCTTATTGTCAATAACAAGCAGGCAGATGGACTTGCTGAATTATGAAAGAAAATATCAACAACAACCCTGCTCAGAGATCGAGAATGAGACAAGATCTTGGGACTAGTTGACTATAGGACCTCAGAGTCCTAGAGTCCAACAGAGAATTTCACTTAGGTCACATTACCAATTTGTAAGAAGAGGCTTTTCATGCTGAAGAGCATACTTGAGCTCAGGCAGATAAAGCATACCAGCAGTTAAGCTGACCCTGTGCAAGTCCTTGGACTTACGTGTTTCAGGAAGGATGCTATCTCTTTTCAACAAGGCACACTTTGCAAAAAGCCAACAGCTCCTCCTATGTTGACTGCTGGCTTTGCTCAGAGCTGCAGACTGATGGGCGGAATGGCTGTCAAATTGGCTTAGTTCAATTCCACAAGCATTCATTGAGTATTTTATGTATCAGGCATGGGGTGGGACACAAGGGATAAAGTGATTCATTCATTTAGTCAGTCAGTCAGTCAGTCAACAAACATTTATTGAGCATCTAGTCTGTGTCAAGCGCTATTTACGTGTTTGAGACTTGGTAGTGAACTCCGTGAATAAATCATGTTCCGAAGAAAGTCAAACTCTAGTTGGGGAGAAAGAAACATGAATAGATAACTACAGTACCGTCCGTCCTTGTATAGGGCAACATGATAGCTCAAAGGAGAGAATTCTCAGAAGAAATGACCCTGAACTGTATTTTAAATGATGGATGAGATTTTACCAATTTCCTAAGAGGTCTAGCATGAGCAAATGCACAGGGGCCTGAGTGAAAAGCCCAGGCTTGTTCACAGAGCAACAAGGAGCTGCTGAGAGCCACATTCAGTGTGAGTCTCTGTATCACCGGGATTAGACCAGCTAGGTACCAGGGTATTGTCATGGTCTAGATCTCCATTTTCCATCCTGGATCCAACTCTGCCAAGAAAGTATAAGCAGCGGAGCAGATATAACCAACCATCTTCAGTGTGCAAGCTCCTATTGATTCTGAAGACTTTAGGCCAGGGGTGGGGAACGTCTTGTCCAAGGGCCGCGTAAGGCCCGCAAAATCATTTGGTCTGGCCCTACCAAGGCAACCGCAGTTCTAGTTATCACATTATTGTTGGTGGTGGTAAGTGTCATTAAGTCAGCTCTGACTCATAACGACCCTGTATAAGGTTCAAGAAGCAGCTGGTGGGTTTGAACTGCCGACCTTGTGGTTCACAGTCTAGTGCTGATCCTACAGCGCCACACCTGGAGTGTGATGGAGTACTCCATCACATTATTGTTGTTGTTAAGTACCATTGAATTGATTCGGATGGAAGACCCTATATAGGGTTTCTGAGAAGTAGCTGGTGGGTTTGAAACATCGACCTGTGGTTCACAGTCCAGTGCTGCTCTTACAGTACCATCACATTTGTTATTGTTGTTGTTAAGTGCCGTCAAGTCCATTCCAACACAAAGCAACCCTATAGAGGGTTTCCATAGAGGAGCTGGTGAGCTTGAACTGAGGGCCTTGTGGTTCAATGCAACTTTGCAGTCCAGTGTATTCATCCACAGTGCCACATCAGGACTCCAACCATCACATTGTTGTTCTTTAGTGCCATAGTCGGTTCCAACCCATAGCGACCCTGTTCAAACGGCTTTGCAGTCTGACACATTAGCCCACAGCCACAGGACTCCACAGCCATCACATTGTTGTGGTTGTGAAGTGCCGTTGAGTCGATTCCGACCCATAGCGACCCTGTGTAGGGTTTCCAAGGAGCAGCTGGTGAGCTTGAACCACCGACCTTGTAGTTCAAATGGCTTTCACATTAGGGGTGAGTTAATTAATTAAATGTAGCAGACTAACTTTTTTTTTTTTTTTAATGTTTTATTGTGAATTATGTGATAGTTTACATGGGAGAATAGCAGGCTAACTTTTAAGTTGATCATTTTACTTGGCCCATGAATGATGTTATAAATTGTGTCAGGAAGAAGATTTCCCACCCCTGCTTTGGAGTCTTGGAGTGGTGCTGTAGGGTAAGCATTAACTGCCAGGTCATTTGAATTGCAAAATTGGCAGTTCAAACTCACCAGTTGCTCCTCAGACACCCTATACAGGGTCGTTATACATCAGAACGCATTCCTCAGCACTTAGCAACAACAACCCCTGCTTTAGGCAACTGGTGTGTACATTGTCTGTGGGTCACCAGATCATATGTTCTACCCCATGGGTTGTTCTAGAACTGTCCTACCTTGGGGGAGCCAAAAGCAGCTCTTAAGTCAAAAAAATCATGTTTGAGCTCCTGCTTGACTTCCTGTTGCTCTCATACAGCACTGTTATGAAGCAGCTAGACTTAGAAATGCCCATGGGCATACAAAGTGAGTAAAAAATGAAATGTCAAGACAGTGCTTCTCTTCCCGCATCCCCTCTCCACCCCCGTGCCAAGCCATGTCTTTCACAAAGCATCATGGGCTATTGATTTAAAATCTCAGGAAATTTTTCAGATGACAATGTACAACCCAGAGAAGGGAAACAACTTGCCCAAAGTTAGCTAACCCAGGAACACAGCTCAGATCTGACCCAAAACCCATGGCCCATAAAACTATCAGGAAAGGGACCTTTTCAGGCAAACATTCCACTGTGGAGATTCGGGGTAGATCCAGACTTAGCCCAATTCCCGAAGGCTGCTGGCTGCTGTGTGGGACAGTGGATAGAATATGAGTTTGGAGGCAGAAAACCAGGTTCAAGTCCTGTTGTAACACTACTGCATGACCTTGGGCATGTTGGGCGTTTAATCACTCTGAGCCTTCGTTGTCCTTATTTGGAAAGTACGTCAGCAACAGTGGGCTCCAACATAACAATAGTTGTGAGGCTGGCACAGGACCAGGCGGGGTTTCATTCTGTTCTACATAGGATCAGAACTGACTAAATCCCACCTAACAACAACCACTGTTGCTATTTGTTGTTAACGATCAGTGAGGTAAGGAGCTCTGGTTAAGGGGCATAGTGGTTACCAATCGGGCTGTGAACCTCAAGGTCGGCAGTTCAAAACTACCAGCTGTTCCGCAAGAGAAAGTTAAGGTTCTCTGCTCCCGTAAAGATTTACAGCCTTGGAAACCCTGTACAGGGTCACTATGGGTCGGAACCAACTCCACAGCACATAACCACCACCACCATTGAGTTAGTTCTGACTCATAGCATCCTTGGTTGTTGTTGTTAACTGCCATCAAGTTGATTCCAACCCATAGCGACCCTATATAGAGTTTCCAAGGAGCTGCTGGTGAACTTGAACCACCGACCTTGCAGTTCAAATGACTTTGCAGTCTGCCGTGAACCCACAGCGCCACCCCAGGACTCCAGAACCCTAGGTTAGGCTATATTTGTTGTTGTTGTTGTTGTTAAGTGCCATCGAGTTGGTTCTGACCCATAGCGACCCTGAACAGGGTTTCTGAGGCTGTAAATCTTTACGGGAGCAGAAAGCCTCATCTTTCTCCCACGGAGCAGCTGGTAGTTTCGAACAGTTGATCTTGTGGTTCACAGCCCAGTTTGTAACCTCTACACTCCCAGAGCGGGAGCAGAAAGCCTCATCTTTCACCTGTAGATGGATTTGAACTTATCCTCTAGTGCCACCAGCATGCCCAACAACAGTTATTTTCCAGAAACTGAATCCTGACCAACCGTCATCTCGTTCTTAGGAATGAGGAAACTGAAGATCAAGGTCACAGAGCTAGCAAGTGAGGGTTCACAGCCAGCCTTGTCTGAGTCCAGAGACCAAGTTCTTCACCCTGAGGAAATGGATCCCAAGAGCTGCACAAGCTAACGTGCTTGGGAAAACTTGCCCTGTTTCCACCAAGGGAAGCCCCTTCCACTGTCCCTCTGAGTGCACAGACTCTTACTTTGCCTATCTTTGTAACAAGTTCATGCATTCTAAAACTATGCTAAATAAGGAGGAGGGAGGAGTGGGTGGGAGTATCACAGCAGCAGTAAGAAATGGCTTTGGCCGGAAGCAAAGGCACAGGATAGCTCCACAAGAGCTTTGGTTGTTCCAAAGACAAAGTCTGTATGCTGAAGCCCCTCCATGCGTTCGGTGTTCATTAAATGGTTCACACAAACAAATGTGGTACTGGGTCCCATGTCTTCAAGTTGAAAGAGCCTACTAACTTCCACTTAATGGGTAAGCCTTTGCTGTGTGCCTGTCACTTTGCAAAATTCTATTGTTGTCATTGTTAAGTGTTGTTGAGTCAGTACTGACTCATAATGACCCTGCATAGGGTTTCCATGGAGCGTCTGGTGAGCTTGAATAGCAGATTTCGGTTCAAAGCGACCTTACAGTCCAGCACATTAACCCACGGTGCCACACCAGGACAAATTCTATTGTATCCTCACAGCATCACATTAAGAGTGTCCCATTTTGCAGATATTGAAATTGAGATAAACAGCAGCTAAGCAAATTGACCCAGCTTGGAAGCTAGCACGTGGTACAGGCAGAATTTAAACCCAGTTCAGCTGACCCTAAGCCAACACTTATTTCACTCCGCCACACTTCCTCCCTAAGAGAGAGATGTGTGTAATATAGTTTGGTGACATTTTCATCCAAAAAAAAATTAAAATAAATGTCACTGCCTGGTGTCTGGAAATGTCTGGTGGTATTTCTTCCCAAGGTTCTGGATCACTGAGGGTGGGTGGTGAACTCGGTTCCTGGGTTTATTTTAGACAGTCAGTGGCTTGGGTATTTGCCAAAAAGTGGAAGAGACTAACC